AAACTGAAATGTGCCCTGAGGCAGCCAGTCCTTGGGTGCAGTGTGTGTGGAAGGGTTTGGGTAGGTGCCATGGGCAGGTATCACCTCTCATAGCCTGGGACTTTACACCTGAACAAGCAAGTAACCCTGGCACACTGACACACCACCTGACAGAAGGGTGCCTTGCCTACCCCACTGCAAACCAGCATCTTCTAGCACTGTGCTAGAAAACAAACAACTCCAAGCAGTAATTGTCCCAGTGGTGAAAAACAGTGCACAAGGAGGTCAATGGGTCCAAATCATGGACTGACCCAAACTGCACTGGAAAAGCGTGATGCCCCATAGCACCTACAATACATTGATAATATCATCATGTGGGGCAACAAGGCAGAAGTGCTTGAGAAAGAAAAAGTGAAGGTCAGGTTCTTCTGAAAGGTGGTTTCACCATAAAAAGAAGTAAGGTCAAGGGACATGTGCAGGAGATTCATTTCTTGGGAATAAAATGGCAGGATGGATGTCATCATGTCCCTATGGATGTGATCAGCAAGACAGCAACTGTGCCTCCATCAGCTAACAAGAAGGAAGCAGTAGCTTTCCTAGGCCTTGTGGGACTTTGAAGAATGCATATTGAAGGTTACAGTCAGCCTGTGAGTCCTTTCTACCAAGTAACCTGAAAGAGGAACTATTTAGACTGGGTCCTTGAGCAACAACAAGCCTTTGAGTTTATCAAACAGGAAATGGCTTGTGCTTTGGGGCCTGTCCAGACAGGACCAGCTGTGCAAAATGGACTTCACACTGCAGCGTGGTCTCATCTGGAGCCTCTAGCAGAAAACACCAGGAGAAACCCAAGGTCAATCATTCGGGGTTTGGAGCCATTGAGGGATATTGAGGATCAAAAGCCCACTACACCCCAGCTGAAAAAGAGATACTAGCAGCACATGCCAGGGTTCAAGCGACTTTGGAAGTTATTGGTAGAGAAGCACATCTTCTCTTGCCAACACAATTGCTCATGGTACACTGGATGTTCAAAGGAAACATCCCTTCTACACATCATACAATCAGTGCTACATGGGGTAAGCTGATCACACAATGAGCTCCACTGAGGAAACTCAGCCACCCAGGAATACTGTGTCCTGGCTTCAGCAGTAGCAGTCATTTTTCTCATTCTCAGTAGCTGGTGCAGGGCTGAGGTTTTGACTTTCAGCCTGGGAACAGCACTGATAACACTGACGGTTTTAGTTGCTGCTCAGTGATGTTTACTCTGACCAAGGACTTTGTGAGCCTCATGCTCTGCCAGGGAGGAGGGGAAGCCAGGAGGAAGCAGAGACGGGACACCTGACCCAAACTGACCAAAGAGGTATTCCATACCACAGCACGTCATGCCCGCTATATAAACTGGGGGCAGTTACCTGGAAGGGTGAGAGCACTGCTCGGGTCGGGCTGGGTATCGGTCGGTGGGTGGTGAGCGGTTGTATTCTCTTCCCTCGTTATTTCCCTTATCATTATTATTACTGGTGGCAGCAGCAGTGGTTTGTGTTATACCTTAGATACTGGACTGCTCTTATCTCAACCCGTGGGAGTTACATTCTTTTGGTTCTCCCCATCCCTCCAGGAGCAGGGGGTGGAAGAGGGCGGGGTGTGGATGTGAGCGAGCGGCTGCATGGTTCTGGGTTGCCAGCTGGGCTCAAACCAGGACATCCTGGAAGAGATCATGGACTGTCCAGAAGGCAGAGAATTTGGAGCACTGCCTGGGGATGTGGCTCATGCCCAGGAGGCAGCACCATGTAATGAATTAGCAGAAGATGAAGGTGTTGTGCTTTGTTTGCTGATGGCTCCTGTAGTGTTGTAGGAAACCATCAGAAGAGGAAAACTGCTGTGTGGAGTCTCACAAGACAAGTCATTGAAGCCACTGAAGGAGAAGGTGGGTCAAGTCTATAAACCACTGCCCAAACACCATCTTAGGTCTAAACACATCTTATGCCTTGAAAGGCAAATTCTGTGGCAACATGAAATACTGCGGCCCCAGAAAGAACTGAATCAGACAGTGGGTGTCATTTCCAAAATAACCTCATAAATTTCAGGGCTAAGAAACATAGCATTGAATGGGTCTATCACATCACCCACAAGCCTCTGGAAAGATTGAGAGATATAATAGAGTGTCAAAGACTATGCTGAGAACATTGGGCAACAGGGCATGGAGGCACTGGGGTATAAATTTAGCTAAAGCCACGTGGCTGGTTAACACCAGAGGATCTGCTAACCATCCTGGTCTTGCCCAAACAAAACCCCTACATACAGTGGGAGGAGATAAGGTCCCCACAGTGCACATATGGAAGTGCCTGGGGAAGGCAGTATGAATTGCTCCTCCCTTGGGAAAAGGTAAATCCATTTGTGGGATTGTTTTCTCTCAAGGACCTGGGTGTACATGCTGGGTGATGCACAAGGATGGGGAGACCTGGTGTGTGCCTCAGGGAGATTGAACCTTGGGGGGGGGGCATAATCTGTGATGTGAGTTGTATGTTGTAACAGGAAATACCTGAACCAATGAAGAGTGAGCTCCTCAAGGAACTCAACAAGTGCAACACTGACCCAACCGACCCATTGCTGATGCCCAGCACTTGAATCTACTGCTTCTCCTGTCCTGAGCACCCATCTTGCCAGTTGGTGCCCAAGTCAGAGCTGGTTCTTACAAACATTTGGAGGAGTGGAGGAAGGCCACTGAATGGGAGAATAGTATCTATCAGATGAAGGACAGAGGATAGTAAACAGAATGTACAAATCTGTATGCTGGGTATGAAGATGGTTGAAGTATGCAGTGTAAGTTCTAAGTGTTGGTAAGAATTGATTTCAGCAGTAAGAATTAAATACAATGGGAAAGTTAGATGATATATATATATGTATTAAATTACGTGAAACCTGAGCATGACACAAATGGCATGGAATAAGAAATGGAGATGGCACTGGGTCTGGCTGAGATGGAGTTAATTCCCCCCTAGCAGCCCTCATAGTGCTGTGCTTTGTGTTGGTAGCTAGAAAGGTGTTGATAACACACCAGAGGTTTGGCTACTGCTGAGCAGAGCTCCCACATGCCAGAAGGGTGAGTGATAGAGCCGCTTGGTGGGCACCTGGTGTTGCTTAGCAGGCACCCACTACAGATGCCAAACAGGTTGTGTCCCAGCTCGGCTAGGCAGCCACGCTGCACAGCCACCTGCAGCCAAACCTGCCCAGGCACACCCAGGTGACTCCCCAACACTTCCCTTCTGGTGCCTGCAGCTCAGCCCAGGGGAACATGGGGCACTCTTGAGCACCATCAGGCTCAGCTGGGGCCATAGCCCTCTGTTATCCTTGGCTGCCCTCCCTAAGGTCTGCAGGCAACATCCCCTGAGGCTTTGGTGTTCGCCAGCCCTGCCCGGGGTGGACCAGGGGTTCAGGAGATGGCACGGTGCTGCTGCAGAGCATTGTGCTCATCTTGCCTTAACAGGCTCTGTCCTGGTGGCTCTATCTTGCTCAGGGGGTGCCTTGCCCCTCCTGTCCTTGGTATCCTTACACACTGAATTAGATCTCTAATAAATAAGTCATGATGAATAATGGGATTAAAAGGCTGCCTGGCTACAGGAGCTAGCAGGGAAGTGTGCCATGCTCAAAGGCTCGCTCCAGAATGGCAGAGCTGTCACAGGGACCTGGACTTGTTTGGAAGGAGCCCCAGTTGGTGCTGTGAGCCGGGTCTGCTGCCTACACAAGCAGCACCCTGAGCTTCTGCACTGGTGCTGGTGTGTCCACTGGGGCCCCAAGGAGCACCATATACACCCCGGCTTCCCCTGGTCACAGGCTGCCATCACCCTGTGCCCCTGGGCTCTTGCTCTGCTGCCTCCCCCCTCAGCCTGCAATGCTTCTCTTGTTCCCCATCTCCTCCAACAGATCACCACGGCTGGCATTACTATAATCCCTGGTTTCATTTAAATCCTCCTTCCATCTCCTGCTTTTCCAGGGAAAAAGATGGAGGCAGCGCACCCCCTCGGCCCTGGGTCTGGTGCCAGGTTCAGAGAGCCAAAACAGAGGCTTCTTGAGGGGTCCCCACTCTTTCTCCCATGGGAAGCTGCCCGGGACATCACACAGCCCCCAGCAAGAGGGATCCCCCTCTGAAACGCAGCGGTGTGAAGAGCTGATGATGCCTGCAAGGAGGAAGCTGGCTCCCGCTCCCCCAAGCCCCCTGCACTGGGGGTCTGGTCTCCCCTTCCCTCTCCCCCCCGCCGCAGGCTGCGCTGACGAACCCACGACACCTCACCGCTATTTTCCTTTTCAACCAAGTAAAACACCTCTACTCTCCGCTCTCCCGCAGAAACCTCCTCCTTTTAACACATCCTCCCTCCTGTGCCGCTGCTGGCGGCAATGGCGGGCAGGGGTCGCACTCCTTCAGGCAGCTGTCGGCCATTTGCCTCCCTCAGCGCTAACGGGGGCTGCGGGATGAAGCCAATTAGGGTATTTATTAACTTGTTCATGTACCCCCCTCCCGAACGAGGAGCGGTGTGCGGGGCCGGGGCTGTGTGTGTCCCGGCGGGGGCACAGCCGCTGAGGGGACCGGGACACCGCGCCCACAGCATCCATGGGCGTACGGTGAGGCGAGGGGAGGGGAGGGGAGGTGTGGCCCCGCCCCGCCCCGCCCCGCCGCAGGACGCGTGCGCTGCGCAGGCGCGGTGCGAGCCGGCACCGGCGCCCGGCGGGTCGCGGAGGGAGGTAGGTGCGGGCGGGCCCGGTACACATGCACCCCTCGGGCGGGCTCGGTTCCATTCCGCCCCTTCCCCCGTGCCCTCTCCGGGGTTGTGGGGGCTCTGCGCTCCCTCCTCGGTCGGGTTCCCTCTCCTTGCGCTCCCCCCAGCCGGTTCGGGCTGGGCCCGCCGGAGGGTTTCGCCTGCTGCCGAGCTGGGAGGCAGTGGTGGGGCGCGGGGCTCAGCGGGCAGGTCCCGCACAGGCAGCCCGCTGCGGTTATCTGCAGGCGAGCAGCGTGAGGGGGCTCGGTCCTGCTGCGAGTCCAGGTTAGTCTGTGCAGTAGCTTGTAAAGGGCTCTCGGTGAATGCAGGCTGCGGACAGCGTTGCTATCGCGGTGTCATGGGTCTCATGTCTGTCGGTGCTCTGCTGACCTGCCAGGCTCTGGAGCAGCCCGGTGTAACCCATCAGTCGTTATAAAGCATCTGCTGGTCGCTTGCTAGCGAAGCGTCTCTAAACAGTAACTTGTCAGGGCTGATGGCATCTGTAAGGAAGGGCTTTGGTGACGTGAGGCAGGACCAGCTTAAACCCCCCCCTCAGCAAGGGCTTGGGAAAGGAAGAGCGAGTGTTTCGAACAGCTCACCTGCTCAGAGCAGTTTCACAAAGCCATCAGCCCCAGGGAGTTATGCTGCAGTTCCTGCTTGTCTCTTATGGGATTAGAACTATGGGGTTGCACATGTGCCTCTCAGGTGTCCCGTGGCCCATCAAGTTAGTTCAGCAGTGCTTGCTTTGGGGTGTTTGTGTGCAGGGGAAGTGAAACCGGAGCCCTTTCTGCAGAAGCGAACTGGAAGCAGAAGTTCCTGGGTTTAGCTTTGTGGTAAGTGCTGGTTGAATGAGCTGCGAGAAGAGCAGAAACAAAGTTGAGCAGCCCCCGCTGTGCTTGATGCAGAAAGTGGGGTTTGGCCGGGAAGGCATAGGTGGGCTGATTGATCTGAATGGTGTCAGTGCGCCTGTCACAGTCGGTTGGAGGTTGGTCTGGTGGCATCACTGAGCAGCACTGCGTGTCACACCCTTCGCAGCAATGCTGGTAGCAGATGCAAGCAAGCCACATCCTGTCTGTTTTCACACCAGGCTCTTCCAGGTGCCTCATTCTTCTGATTAGCAGATTCAGGTACGTGTTCAATCCTCAGCTCAGATCCCAGAGTATGTGGGTAAGCAGGCCAAGCAGGTCAAAGCTATTAACATCCCCGGACTGAGGGGAAACACGGGTTACACAGCCTGTGCACTCCTGCCAGAGCTCTTTCCATTTATCCATTTTGGGTATAGCATCCATAATGCATTGACTCTGCCCTGGTAAAAAATGGGCTGTGTTCCAGTTTACTTAGGGCAACAGAAACACTGTGCTCAGCGCCTTGTGCTTGCCTGTTTTACTGTCAGTACTGCACTTCCAGCTTCTTAGAGCTCTGCTGTTTTCTTCCAGCCTGGGTCAGCGTTATATATTGAAAGGCAGTGCACCAAGCACAGCTCTGGCAACCTTGCTGACTGGTATTTGTGTTTTAGTGACTGTTAATGCTGGAGAAAGGTGTTCCCTGGACAGTCCCAGAGACAGAAGCGCTGTATTTCTAGAGCAGGTACAGTACAGACAGCAGCCAAACAAGCATCAGGCCTTTACCTTCACTTACAGAATGTCCCTGGGATGGGAAGGACAGGTTGGCACTTGGCCTTTCTCTTGCAACTGCTTATTAGGGGATCTGTGGTGTCATTGTGAACTCGCATCTGTGCCTTGGCAAACTGGCCTGCAGAAAAGCATTGCCAGAAAAGAGCAGCACAGGAGCTGGGTCTCTGTGCCTCGGAAGCCCCTTGTGAGCTCTAGGGATCATGTGCAGAAAACGAGCGCCGCTCCACTTGTGAGTCAGCGTTCTTGGGTGATTAAGACCCGGGTTGCCTGATGACTTGTATTGATGTTAGGCCTGTGCGTATTTTACATCCTTCCAGTAGAGCAAGTCAGATAGGAGAAATTATTCAGCTAGTGACTGTACAACAGAAAGAAAGGCCTGGTGATGGTGATCCCTGGTGGATTTGCTGTTTCTGGGAGAACACAGCCAGAAGAAATGCTTAATAGGGATGGTATGTTGGGAAAAAACTAGACAAGCTTTCAGATACAGTTTTCACCAAAAGTGGTGTAATTATTACTAAGCTCTCAACAGTTGCTTTTACCTTGCACTTACTGCAGTGACCTGCTACTTCCATTTTGGACCTGATGGAGGACTTGTGTCCCTGAAAGCTTGTCCAATTCCCAGCTCTAATCTTTCTAATAAGGGAGATTACCTCCTGTATACAAAACTCGTTCAGAAATGGGGATGGAAATGCCATGTTTTGCTCCTCTATGTGTGAATTTCTGCGGAGTCTGTGAGTCAAACAGCTATTTTGTACCATTTCTGAAACCTGCAGATTACCTTGGTCCTGCGCCCCTCCGTCCTGCTGCAATGAGTGGCAAGTCCTTGCTCTTAAAGGTCATTCTCCTTGGGGATGGTGGAGTTGGAAAGAGTTCCCTCATGAACCGGTACGTCACCAACAAGTTTGACTCGCAGGCCTTCCACACCATTGGGGTGGAGTTCCTAAACCGGGACCTGGAGGTGGATGGACGTTTTGTGACCCTCCAGATTTGGGACACTGCGGGACAGGAGAGATTCAAGAGCCTGCGAACCCCCTTTTACAGGGGAGCAGACTGCTGCCTGCTGACCTTCAGTGTGGATGACCGGCAGAGCTTTGAGAACCTCAGTAACTGGCAGAAGGAGTTTATCTATTATGCTGACGTGAAGGACCCTGAACACTTTCCATTCGTAGTCCTGGGCAACAAGATAGACAAACTTGAGAGACAAGTGAGCACAGAGGAGGCCCAGGCCTGGTGCATGGAGAACGGTAACTATCCGTACCTGGAGACTAGTGCCAAGGATGACACCAATGTGGCAGTGGCCTTTGAGGAGGCTGTGCGACAAGTGCTGGCGGTGGAGGAGCAGCTGGAGCACTGCATGCTGGGCCACACCATTGACCTGCACTCCAGCTCCAAATCAGGGTCTTCCTGTTGTTAGGAGAGGCTGCTGCTTTGGGAACATCGCTTGAGCCAGCAGCTGTATTGGAACAGGCACGGGCAGCTCTGGGGCACTCTGAGGAGCGTGGCCACAAGGACAATATGTGGTTTGCTCACTCGGGAGTTGCAGCCTCACCATCCGAGTTCTGGCTGGAGTTTTTGGGCACAGAGCATGTATCTGCAGGAAGGAGCTGTTAAAGAGCACATGAATGTAGTCCTGCTTCCATCTCTGCCTGTTGTAGCAGGTTTAAAGGACTGGGTTAAAGTCCTTTAAATTCACTAAAGACAGTAGTGATCTGATCTGTACCAAGAACTGCCTGCAGAACACAGCTGAGAGTGCCCTAGACAGTCTGTGAAGTATTTTAGCCCTGAATTCAAACAAATACTAGACCCAGTACATGACCTTACTGCCAAAGGAATGTCTGCTCAGCATACTGAATGAAACCTGCTGTAGAGACTGTAGCCCATGTAACTGTGAGAATGCCAAATACCAGAGTGGCTGAGATGAGTGTATCTGTTGTCTGGGATAAGTGCATTTTGTCCTGAGACTGACTTGTCCTGGGAATTGTTACAGCTCTGATGTGAAGCAACACATGAAGAAGGGATGGACCTGTGTTTGAATGTGGCAGCATCACTTCTTCGTAGCTGCCTATTCCTGATCTGTTTTTTCCACACCTCAAGCTCTGTCTTGTGTGAGTGTTATCTTGTGGAGAGACTGCTTCTTGTTTAATATATGTTTCCTTGTCTCTTGTGGAGGCCTAACACTGGATCTTGCTTTTCATACCTTGAAGCCCTGGATGAAAAATACTGATGTGGACATTGCTGGGTCATGTCAGAGGGTTTAGAGTCACTCAAGAGTTCAGGAGATCTGGAGCGTGAAACTTCAGCTGTTTTCTGTCACAAGTAATCACTGTGCCCAGATGTTATGCTCTAGCACAGCGGATGGAGGTGGGATATCTCGGGGGTGTGCAGGTAGCTGGGAGAGTCATGCATGGTCAGCTGCTAAACCCACTCTGTGTCCAGGGCTGGGACCACTGTACTTTGTTAGCTGGTGGGTCAGCATCTTCAGTTGCTTTAGCACGGATGTTCCCATCTGGGTGCTGCAACTTAGAACTGTTCACTTTGTTACCTGTTGTCAGGTGCAGTGCTACTGAGCACAGTTAATGCATAGCCTTGTGCTGGCCCTTACTCCTTACACAGGGAATCCTGTATGTTTTATCTGTAATTCATATAACAGACCTTATTTGTAGAGGATGTCCACTTTGTTAACTGGCCGTTGTTAATGGCCGCAGCACCAGTTCCACCTCTGTTCAAGGTGTCTGGAAAGTGGTATGGGGAGGCAAGGAACCTTCTAGAAAAGGACATCAGGCTTCACTGATCCTGATTCCTGCCCCCTGCTAGGTGTTAGTCCCAAGCTATCTGTGTAGCAAAGAGATGAATGCTTGCTGACTGCTGTCTTTACCATTAAAACCTCATGTCTTGCAACTTCCCGTGCAAGCGTTTGTCCAAAACTATGACTTTGCCCACAAGCACATAGGAGCCTGCCACAGGGAGAGCTTCCCTGAGTCTATATCCTCTAGCTGCTGAGTGCAGTTCCCACTGTGATGAGCTACTGGATGGTAAATTCTGTAGCTCTAATTGAGCAGCATCACTGATGCTGTGCTTTAGAGTCAGGCACTGCCCTCGTGCTGCCTTGTGGCAGCTAATCCCCATCACTGAGCATGCAGGCACCCTCCTCAGAGGGAGCTTGGGGTGATCCTGCCCTTCTCTGCAGGGTAGCCATCTGTGGAAGGGACTGAATCTTTAATGCAAAGTGCTTTGGAGGGGTCTGATTTCTTTATAGGCTGAACACTCATATTCACAGGCATAGATAGGGAGTGCTTACAGTCTCTGGGAAACAGGTCCCTGGTGGTATAAGAGAAGGCTCTGCCTCTGTAGGTGCAACAGATTTTTACAGGATATTAAGGTTATTGTTACTATGTACTTACCAATGTGTGACCTCCCCAGGCTTCTAGATTCTTCTTCAGTTTGACACTGCCTAACATTTCCTTCAAGATCCCCCACTCTGTAACTTGTGGTTCTGATTTACATCTCAGAACAGACACGTTCCCCCAGAGCTGGTTGTGCAGGGTCCAGGGCTGGGACACGCTCAGGTTCTTTCAGAGGGGCCACTGAGGGAGCTCCCCGCAGGTGAAACTGCCGCTTCCCATGGGATCTGTGTGAGGCCACCTGTGGAAGAGGGCAGAGATTGAACCTGAGTCGAGGCAATCCCAAGCACAGCTACAGGTGGGCAGAAAAGAGATTCAGAGCAGCCCTGAGGAGAAGGACTTGGGGGTGTTGATTGATGAGAAACTGAACATGAGCTGGAAGCAGTAAGCGCTGGCAGCCCAGAAAGCAACCATATCCTGGGCCGCATCAAAAGGAGCGTGACCAGCAGGTCAAAGGAGGTGATCCTGCCCCTCTGCTCTGCTCTCGTGAGACCTCACCTGGAGCATTGTGTGCAGTTCTGGTGTCCTCAACATAAAAAGGACATGGAACTGTTGGAACAAGTCCAGAGGAGGCCACGAGGATGATCAGGGGCTGGAGCACCTCCTGTATGAAGACAGGCTGAGGAAGTTGGGGCTGTTCAGCCTGGAGAAGAGAAGGCTGCGTGGAGACCTCATAGAAGCCTTCCAGTATCTGAAGGGGGCCTACAAGGATGCTGGGGAGAGACTCTTCATTAGGGACTGTAGTGACAGGACAAGGGGTGATAGGTTCAAATTGAAACAGGAGAAGTTTAGATCGGATATGAGGAAGAAGTTCTTTACTGTAAGGGTGGTGAGGCACTGGAATGGGTTGCCCAAAGAAGTGGTAAATGCTCCATCCCTGGCAGTGTTCAAGGCCAGGTCACACAGAGCCTTGGGCAACATGGTCTTGTGTGAGATGTCCCTGCCTATGGCAGGGGGTTGGAAATGGATGATCTTAAGGTCCTTTCCAACCCAATCCATTCTATGATTTGGTGATTCTGTGATGGAACAAGCTGCAGTGCAGGAGGCAAGGGTACAGCGTGCTGTTAGCTGTACCTTGGGCATGTTGATGTTGATAGCTGAAGCTCAAGATCCTCATTGTACACAGGCTGTGCAGACTATATGTACAGAGTGTGTTACACAGCGTCTTTTATTCCTAACACACATTGGATCATTGACTTTAAAAACCAAACCAACCCCAAGTATTTTATTAGGCTTATGTGTTTTTACAATTCATTTTAAAAAGTATATTGAAACGGTTTGATTTATATCAATGATGCGCACAAAGGAGCCAGGATTTTGTTGCAGAATTCCATGCCAACAGCCATCCCCTCCCTGTGTGCACTCCTGCTGCTGCGGTCGTTGCTGTTGCTACAGAACTGGAATTGTAAAACCAAGATTCTACCTTTATTTAAGCAAATAAAACCTGGATGTATTCAAGTGAAGTCAGGAAGCGTCTGTCTTCATTTATCAGAGTTCGTGTTGGCCTCTGTTCTCCTGAGGTACGTGGAACTAGGCTGGTTAGAGCATCTGTCAGAGAAGTCACAAAGGGATCAGAGGGGTTGGTTATTCCTGAGTATTCCTAGCTGAAGGAATAGATCTTTACCAGCAGAACCAAACCACCGACAGTTTTGTCTTTCTAAGAGCATATCAGAAACACTTTCGTAACAGAAACACTCCGTATTGCTTCCTTCTGCCACTACACTTCCATTTTCGGCCTCGGCTCTCAGCAGCAAGCTGGGTACTTCCCTTTGATTCCTTCCTGCAATCTTGGAACCAGTCCCTCAGGCTGCAGGGGGCTGTAACCAGGCATGATTTCCTCAGGATGCTGAGATGGAAAAGAGCAGCATATGGGGACTGTTCTCTTCCGCTGTCCTGCCAGGATGGGCACTTATTTTGGGAAGCCTTCTCTGTTTGCGGAGCCTGTGCCTGCTGCTTCTGTTGGCAGAACCTTTTAGTTTATTACTTTCCCATGCCTACTTGCTCAGCCATGCTTCCAGAGGCAGTGTGGGACTTCGAGTCCTTGGAAATCCTGCTTTGTAAATGTAGGCTGGAGCATCTGGGGCCCTCCAGCATCTTCTTTCAGCTGCTTCAAAACACACAGTAACCATGACCTGGTGGGAGAAGTTTCCAGCCACATGGGGTTGAGGGAAGCTGTGTACATCAGTGAGGTCTGTCTAACAGCATCAGAACCACCAACTCCCCTGATGTGATGTGTTGGAGCGAGGCAGAGGAAGGAGCAATAGTGATGCTGTTCCCTCATCCCCTACTTTGCCACTGTAAGCAATAGCGGAGTGCTGAGATGTGATTTTGTGATGAGCGGTTTTGTGATGAGCTGGGAGAGGATGGACCCCTGGAGGGCAAAGGAATGTCTCCAAAGGAAAGCAGTGAGCTGTTTCTGCATGGAACAAATGCTGTAGCGTATTCCTCTGTGCTTGCAAGGGAAGAGGTGGGGAGTCTCCTGGTCCCATCCATCCCTTTCTCCCACAGCTTTCTTGGTGATTTTGCTGCTCTGGGCCATCTGTAAGGCTGTGCAGCTGCCTGGGAACTGAAATCTTCCCTGGAACCACAAGCTGAGGAGCTCCAAATGGCCGTAGATGCACACATTTGCTCTCTGGGTATCGGAGGCTGCTCACGCACCATCTGAGTGCAGCTTCTCCTGAGCTCTGGAGGCTGGCTCCTCACAGCAGTACAGCTGTAAGGAAGTTTATGGGAACATGATCTCTGGGGAGTGCATGTTCTTACATGTGTTTGAGGATGAGCACGAACATAGCCTAAAAATACCCTTTCAGGAGCCTCTGAACCCTGCTCCAGGCTTCGGTTCTGAACAGGGAGCTTGTTGCAGCTCTGGCGCCTGGGACACTGGCTCTTCTCTGGAGTGGGAGCATTCCCAGGTCTGTCGAGGTGGGAGGTGGTGGCAGCTCTGACAGCAATTGCCCAAAGGCCTCAGGTGAGTCAGAGTCCCCTGAATGGAGACAGGGATCTGGGACAATCCCTGATGTCAGTGACACTGTGGGTGACTGCTGGGGTGGTTGCTAAAGCAAGTGGAGATACCCCTCGACCCCGGTGCTTGCCTGGCTGGTGGAGCTGCTCCTTCCTGGTGGCTTCAAGGGGTCCTTTAGGTACTGATGTATGTGGCCGTGTCTTCATGAGCAGCTGAGTACAGCATCTCCCTGTGCTATTGTCAGCCTTAGTTCTTTCCATGAGGACTTCCCACCTGCAATTCCTTTTGTCCCTGGGTACGCCTTCAGCAGAGCCAAGCTTTGCAGAAATGGAGAGGAACGAGCTGGCAGTGCCACCTTCCCCCAGGCTGAGGTGCAGCAGCACCGCGCCATGGCCCCGCAGGCAGCTCCAGCCCCTGCCAGGGCATCGCTTGCACCTGAATCCAGGACAGGGCTGGGGGAGCTGCAGGCGAGGACCAGCATGAGTGTGCCTCTGCTGTACCCTCTTTAGGGCGAGGCAGAGGATGCTCCCTGTGTGCCTTCCGAGGGGGGTTCGGTGTCGCTGGGGGCTGCACACGGGTTTGGATGGCAGCAATTGGATGTTTAGGGTACGTTTTTCATTGCTGTTCCCTCGCTGGGCTGTGCAGGGCTGAGCGCAGGGGAAATGAAGGCACCCGAGGGAGACTGCAGCCGGCGGCCACGGGGAGGAGACGCAGGACCAGGGATGCAGGAGGAGCATCGAGCTTGGGGGGAGCCTCGCGTCAGCGGAGGGCTGGGGACCCGTGTCCATCCCTACCCGAGCACTCCTCGCCTTTCCCTGTTTATCCCAGGTTTATCCCCTTCACTGCCCCAAGGGCTCACTTGCTATCAGCGCTACGGGGCCAGAGCAGCAGGGCAGGGGATGAAGGGCTGGGGGGAAGGCGGCCCGTGGGACCTGCTCCACGTTCTCTCTCCCTGGTCCAGCCTTTGTGGGAGTGACCTGCAGCCACATTTCAGCCTCTAGGCAGGGGGACAGTGTTTGACTGCACTGGCTCCTCTCCTCGGAGCTCTGGTGATGTGGTTTACAGGGATGAGGTTTGGTACAAGGCAGGGTTTATGCCCTGTCCTTTCTCACCCAGTTCCTAGAGGGCACTGGGTGCCCAGGGCAGGAGCTGTGAGGGCAGGTCCCATGTCCCCTTGTGGGGTGGCAGCAGGACACTGCCAAGAGCACACCAGCAAGAGCCTACATGTGTCCTTTGGCCCTGGGACTTGCCCAGTGTCCTGGTGCCTTCACACACTGCCTCGTGCTGCTGTCCCCAGCCCTCACCCCGGCCGGGGGGCACCAGTCTCTGCCAGGGGAAAGAGATGGTGTTTTGTTCCCTGGCTCGCTCCTGCCCAGGGGCTGATTGTGCACACACAGGGCCCTTTCAGCATGGGGAGAGGAGAGTGATGGCATCTGGGAACGCAGGGAATAAAGGGCCCCATTGATGCTGCCTGCAGCTCCATGGTTTCTGTGAGCTGAGGCAAGGCCGGGGTACGGCCACAGTTGTGCACTGAG